GTAATTGTGTCAGAAAAAGAAGACAAAAATGAGGGGCAGTGGTAGGCCCAGAACAACTTATTTAGGGAACCTTAACAAATGGCTAGCAGGGAAGGATCAGGGAAACGTAGCTTTTTTAAGAGCATCCGAGCAAAGGAATGAAAGGAGAACAATGATCGCCGATGTCTGTCGCAGATGGTCTGGCACGTGATGATGATGATGATGATGATGATGATGATGATGATGATGATGATGATGATGATGATGATGATGAGGATGATGATGATGATGATGATGTTGATTATGATGATGATGATGATGATGATGAGGATGATATACAATATATAACAAATATTTGTTTGGGATATAAAAAAGTATACATATATTATATATCTACAAATACGTCAGCGTTACAGACATAAATTTCTTCCCCCTCAGGTTTCGGCATGGAGGCTATCTTTCTCCTAGGAGTCAGTTTCACCACCACAACCGCCCCCGCAATCGTCTGTCTGACCCTGGCTGTAGGCTTTAGTGGATTCGCCATCTCAGGTGGGTAGTCTTTTTTATAGTGTTAGTAGATGTTTAACGGTGCTCACAACTGCATAATAAGGTCATATTATGAACGCCAGAAGATTATCGGTGTTACAAGAGAGTCACAAATATAAAAAAAAGAAGGGGAGATGAGGACGATAGATGTTTGATAGGCAAGAAGGAGCAAACCACCCCAGAGCACCGGCCAACCACCCACGATTAGCAGTCTACAATGTACCGTACCTACGTGATCAAACGTAATACTAACCCTAAACCTAATTCCAACACTCTCTCGCCCCCCTTTTCTCCCTGTATCCGAAGCCTTACTATGAATCTTACTCTCTTCGTTGGAGATTGGTGGGTGCTCTGGTGTGGTTTGCTTCTTCTTTCCTATCAAACATCTGTCGGCCGTATCGCCCCTTCTTCTGTGTTATGTTTGTTACTCTCTTGTAACACCTCTATCTAATCTTCTGGCGCTCATATGACCTTATGCAGTTGCGAGCGCCGTAAAAACTCAACTAAATTTTTTTTTTTTTAAATAAAAAAAACACACTTGCATTAGAAATGACTTGCTCCCAGTTATTTCAAGATTGCGCTACCTGCCATCTAAAATTGTGTTCGCGATCTCGTCAATACAGCCGTAAAGAATACACTCTAAGCAATGATGAATAATGCATAATATTTATATAACGCATTTCCATATTCTTTTATGCTCAATGCACTTTACATTGACATTTTTATTAGCCAACAACGACATTTTAATGACACAATTATGTCTTACGATGCGGTAGAATCAGGCCCTCGTCAATTTTTGGATATATGGAGTTATTGGTACGATTTTAAGAATGTTCATTTGTCTTGCTTGTGATTTTAAAAAAATGCCCGTCTATCTTGAAGAGAAGTTGGGATATTTGCAAATTGACAGAGGTGGGGGTCGCCTGATTTGGGATTTTACATAACTTGAGAGACCTTGGAAAGAAATAATTTACAATTTTATATACCTTTTATCAACTTATTTAACTTAAATCTTCACAGAAATGTGTTTTTCATAATCTAAAAGGTGTTGAACCAAAAAACAAAAATTTGAAAGAAAAAAATTGCAAAACCGGCGGAGAAAGGCCGAATTCCATCATTTCATTATTTTGACGAACGCCTGATTTCACCAAGATGCCTCACATATGCATATTAAATTTAAGTGTGTGAAGTTATGTATACAGAGATATAAGCAGTGAAGGAAAAGTTTAAGAATACCTGACTTACTCTGAGCCCAAAATGTTATTTAAGGAAAAAAGCCTGACAAAAAGACCTGGTCATATTAATTCCTAACAGCACGATGGTGTTATTAAGATCGTTTTGTCTAAAGCTAGTTTTAGTTTTCATCTAGTTGTATTCTCATGACTACGCTCACAGAACTTATACTTGTACTATTCATAGCGGTGTTATTATTATTATTATTATTAGTAGTAGTAGTAGTAGTA